TATCATAATTTAATTATTTTTTGTTTTACTGCTGTGAGCCTTATCTTCACTATCATTTGCTGAGCCTATCTATCATTCACCATGCAAATCAAAACTGAGAACACGCCAACTTTGAAAGACCCTTGTTTCTAGATACATTAATAGTGACACCATCAAGAGCTGAGAAACAAAGCGACAAGTGGTAGATCCTACCTATGGTTGAAATTATTAGCATTTGTACCTCCTACTGAATGATTTATGGAGGAAACAGAAACATTCATTTGTTAACGTCTCTTGCTTGTGCATCAGGAAGTAAAGTGAGTAGCAGAGATCCAAAAGAAAAATAAATGGCCAATTCAGATGCAAAGGAACAAGAGGAGCAAACATTTTCCCCGAAGTACAAATGCAATGCAAGTTTACACTGACGCACTGAAAATTAATGAAATGTCTGCTAGCATTATGGGGGGGGTGGACTAACAGTACTGCTTTGAGTCCAGCACCTCATGGGCGTAATTAAGTTAAACCACAAGGCCACATGATGGTACAGAAAGAGAAACCTCATTTGAAATGTAGTGACAAATGGCAATACAAACCCATGAATTTACTCTGTGAGAGCAAGGTAGTAAGAGCCTCTAAATGAAAGACAACATTTTCCTAATGAAGACACAAGATACAAGATCAGATGAGGGACAGCAAAAGGCTTAGAAGCCAAAGACATAAAATACCAAAACTGTAGCTGAAATAGCTTGCCCAAGGTTTTAACAATTTATTGTTGTTTTTTTTATCTTCCCATATGTACAGAATCCTCTTTCTCTGCGATGTCAAAGCCAAGATATTTCGTCCCCATCTCATTCTCACACACACTGAGAGCGATGGAAATGCTAATATTTACAAGAAGCACAGAGCTTTCATGTTACTTCCACCATGGTTCAGTAGCTATGTAAGAAGTCTAGCAACAAACAAAAAGTGGTTGTGTGTCTTGTGTTATTGTTACAGTACAAGGGGTCAGGAATCATGCATGTGTTTTTTGGCATGCAGTCAAATCTACAGAACTATTATGGAAAGTTTATTTTCGCTGTCTGCTTATACAAGTGACTACAGGTGGCAGAGACCAACACGCTTGGATCAGCATTTCTGCACTACACAAAAAGTGACCTGTAAAAGTAGGAAAGTAGCACTAAATTAAGAATAAAGAAAGAGAACAAAAGACTGCCTTTCTCTGAAGTGTAGTTGACTAACGTGAGCTCTATCAGAATGCTCCAAATGTGAAGTGGCCATTTCTTTCAAGAGCTTCTAACATATTCTTGAATAAGATTGTTGAAACCTTTGACTATTCCCACCTAAGTGGAATTATTTTATAGTTCAATATCACTATGGAAGCAGTTTTTTCTTAAAAAAACAAACAAAAAAACCCCAAACCAACCAAACAAAAAAAAACAGCAACAAAGAATAAAACAAACACCAACCAAACACAAGAAAACAAAACAAAGCAAAACCACCACCACCTGAAAAACCAACCCAGCTTTAAATATAAAAAGAAATGATTGTCCCACATTTCAAACTGTGGTTATTTGCTTGTTTAGTCAATTTAGCAATGAATTCTGGCATTTATAAAGAAGGAATACATCCAGTTTTTAAGAAGGGATACTATTAAAGCTCCAAGTGTCAGAATTTGACTAATTTTATCATCCTCTTTTATCTCCAAAGTCAATATAAATCTACTTAGAGGATTATTTGCAAGAAGTGCTTTAGCCAGGAAGACCACAAGAGTAACTCAACAAGAATGTTTGGCTAAAAAGTGACCTCCATTATCAAATTCTGAGGATGATATAGTTATTTTTGAATAATTATATATGGCAGTCAGTCTCCCTTTCTTCCTCCTCCAAGGGCAGGGGAAATAAACCTCAACGAAGCAGAGGTCTACTTCCTTCAAAAGACTTCTGTGTTAATAGGAAAGCAATTCATGAAACTGTCAGGAAATAGGAATGGGCAGATGAGCTGTGTACTACCGTGTGCTAGTTGTTACACTAAACTGATATGGGTATTTTAATAATAAGACTTTATTTACCTCCAGTAAATTAAGTAATTTAATTCCTTAGAAGTAGATTCATAGAGCAGCTGTTAGAAACAAGGCTGCACCAATATTTTTCTCGATATAGGAAATGAGGACTGGCATCACACATCCTGGACTCCATCCTCAGCTTAGAGTTCTGACCTACAAGCAGCCACTTGTGGATTTCAGAGCTAACTGTACTACCGAAACAAACAGTACAAGCTATAATTTCCTTGATCTTACTGTACCCACAATCTTGAGCCTTGTGGAAAGTTTGAATGGCTCCAGAAGGAGAATCATCCCCCAAAACACCAGATGTTGGGCTTCTCATTTTCCACTGATGGAGAGCCTGCTCCTCCTGTTTCTCATCTCTTCCCACTCTCTCTCCTTTGCACAGTGCTCCCTCAGACCTTGCCTTCTTATCCCACATCTCTGAGCTGTCAGCAGCTACCTGCTTGCCTAACATCTCACTTCCCCTCATCTAACGATATCTGACACTCATCTTCAGCCTGTAATTTCTAGTCTGCTATTCCATATAAAACCATAACCTTCAATCTTGTTACCCTCCTCATACTCATCTTGTTTTCTTTCCACTCATTAAAACTCCCACTCATTACAAAATACACAGTCCCATAACCCAGTTCTCCTTAACCCTTTAGCAACTATTTCACTCCCTGTAACTAGCTCTTCATGCAGCTGTTCTGCCCTCTTGGCCTCTGTGACCTACCTGAAAAGGTCCCCACCGCTCTTCATGGACTCCTGAGTCCTCCAGACTTTTCTCTCAACTATTCTGTCCCTACTTTTCATAATAAGATACATACCAGTATTCCCATTATGGATCTCCAACATGATCAACGTCACTGAATGCACTGAGGAAATATTCATAGCAAAATTTCACCATGGTTTCTCCTACTATAAACGTCTTATTTTTTCCTTCACCTCAAGAAGGCTGCATCCTCCAACTCTATGGAACCAGTAGTCACAAATCCACTGTCTGCTCTCCACCTGTTACCTTAAGCCTCCTCTTCTTGTACCAGATGGATATTCTTGACTTTTTCAGAGAGAAATCTAAAAACATCTGACAGGACTTAGTTATTTGACATTCTAAGCAACTGATCACATCTTCCATTATCTCCTGTACACCAACCTTTCCCAAACCCAGAAAAAATTCAGGCCACCCATTTCTCCTTTGCAGAGGACAATGCAGTTTGGTGCAGACATGTTGATTATATCTTTGTAACCAAACCTTGGCCTCATATTCTCTTTTGATCAAAAATGTTATGAAACTTCCAGGTGCCTTTACAGAATTCCTAATGTTGTGTAAGAAACAATGCCAGAATACGGGCAATTATTTGTACAAAGTCCCATCTAAAACAACTAAGAATGTCACATTATGCTGACTCAGACTGATACAAACCCAGCCCTTATGCACAGAAACCTTACAGGATCTCTAAGCTTCATTCTCCACTGTGTCACACACTGGTTAATGATCAAAGCCAGTGCAGAGAAGGCACAAAGTTATCGTCGAAGAACACTTAATCTTGTGCAGTCACAAGATTAATTTTCCACTAGCAAATTTTTTGTGCATCCACATGGGTCCCCTTCTTCACTTTGGATGGAGCTAATTCAGGGCTGCCTTATTTTGCTTGTTGCACAAATATTAGAACGTACATTGTGAGGATGTATGCATGTAGTCTCTGTCACAGAGGCAAGGAAATGGTGCCTTACTCTAGAAGCCTGAAATGAAAGCTCTGAAGAGTAAGAAAATAAGTATAATTATTTCTGATATACAGATGGGGAATGCAAACACACAGAGACGGGGACTTCCAAAGAATCTACAGGCTGAAACAATCAGTGCATACCAACTTTCTTACTCTGCTTAAGACTCGTAAAACAACTTTCATGCTCCACAGTCTCACTAGTTCTAATTTTGAAGGCTAGAGAAAAAGGAGACAAGCCTAGTAGCAAGTTGGATCTGTACACAGAACATCTCCCACCTCACTCTACAGAAAAGCACCTGCACTTCTTCAGCTGTTTCCAAGTCAGCAGGTATAACACAGGAAAGACAACATCAAAGAGACTGTGCTAAGAGCCATCCATAACAATGCATTCTGCAGCCAGGGCAGTAAGCCAGAAAGGGAAAGTAAACAGAGTCCTTCAAAGAGCAACATGAGGGTGAATCAAGAAAACATGCTGCCTGAATGGTAGCAGCTCCACCATGCAGGATTTTGATGGCATGACTCAGCCATAAATTTATAAGTTCCCACATAAAGAGTTTTTTCCCCAACCTGAAATAGCTTGTGGTCTAGGGCTAGGACACGGAGCCACAGACTTGTGAATTCTCATTCCCTCTCTGACACAGGCTACTACTCCATTGCCCCCCAGCTCCTGTGCCTCAATATCCCACTACCTATTTCACAGAAGTACTGTGAAAGTTACTGGAAATTACAAGGGACACATATGAACCATGGCAGCTAATACTACATTTGTTATCAAGTGTTAATATTTAGTGACGTTTTTCCCCATGAAATAAATTAACCCAAGTTTATTAGAGCAGTAAGGAAAAGCTCGTGATTATTTATATGCTACATCTCCACTCACCAAAATATAACTCATTTTGGAAAAGCATACTTTTCCATCTTTGAAAAGGGCTAAAAGGAAATAGTAAAAATATGTACTTTTTAAAATAAACCACTCTGTATTTTAAATGCTGATTACAAATGACTATTTACAATAAAAACAGTTTTCAGTTACATTTTTGCTGACACTGCTTACAGTTAACCACATTCCCCACCTGATACAGGTTTAAATAATGATTCAATATTCTTGAGGATTGGCTGCTGAGGAGGCTGTTCAGCAGTTGCAAAGCATGCTCATGAGCTTTCAGGATGGAATAAATTCAAAATAGATGATGTCTTAACAATTAACAACCATTAAAATAAACACATTAAAAATATGTTTCTCTTACCTATTAGTATCCTATTCTTTGCAATGCCATTTTTAATCTCATCGTTGATTAAGTCTGTAAGTCCCCGGCACATAGAATCAATACTTTCAATGTGTTCTGGACAGTCATTAGATATCTTGTACCTGTCAAACCACACAGTGGAAAAGGCTCCTTTCATAGGGGTATATGGCCTGGAGTGGTAGAAAGAAAGATAGCAAATGATTAACCAAGTATAAGAACAAAAGCCTTCAGCATACGTGATAAAGAGAACCAATTCAGTATCTCTACAGCAAAGGAGAGAGAGTCACATTGCATTTCCCTGCATTCAAAACATGGTCCTTCAAGAATGAAGACAGCATTTGGAAGCTATGTAAAATGCAAGTTTCGATCAGCTTAGTGTCAATGTTGATCAGGTCAGCCAAACATTTTAAATCTTAACCTTGTCCAGAGGTTCTTAATCCTAAACAAAGTTAGGGTTAAAACCCTCCTTTGAAAAGGACAAATTAAAGTAACTGCTAAACAAGACAACTTTGCAGGAGCTAACTTTATGGGACTCGGTTGTCTTATTCTTGTTGAAATTAACAGGAGATAGGTATTAGGAGCCTCTAGGTATTTACAAAAACTTCTTCCTTCTGTCAATTTTTCTTTTTCTTAGATAAATACAGTCATCCTCACCCTAATGGGGCCGGTATCTCGTAAAAATAACTGAAAGAAATGCCATGTGCTTACTGGATTGGTGCACAAACACAAATTAGAGACATGATACTCCCCTCTGCCATAATGTGTTGTCAGATTAGTATTTTAAGTGCTTTAACATGCTGCCCAAACCTCAGATAACCAAGGAAGCTACAGTTCAAAGCAGCCATTTCTTTGTTTTTAAATAGAGAAGATGAATAGAGCCTTGAAATCCCAAGAAAGGTGATCTAATTGCCTTGCAATGGCTCTACAATTTAATACCAAACATACTGCTATGAGATCAATGCTTCATCTCAAACCCAAACCCCCTAAAATCCTTAATTGCAATGTTTAATCAGGGAGCACATTTTTCAGTTTTACTTAAACTCAAATGAGCTCAGATCAAATTACAATCATTGCCTACAAACAGACAGCCTTTGATAAATTTGTCTGGATGGGAACCCACTGCAAACACTAACACTGATTTCTGTGATCTCTCTGGACTTTCAGTAAGTACTTTCAGAACTAGGATTAAACAAAAACGCAACTAACCTAAAATGAGAAAACCACTATTTAAATTATTCTTAATGAAGGAACAAATTCTGCCTTTATTAATACCACAGAGGATTCACATATGCTGATGGCTATTCTAAAGCAGAAATACTGCCACTAGTACAGGCATACAATGGGCAGTATGCTGTTTCATCTTTTTGAGCATGGCTTCAGGAATGAGTACCTAAAATCTACTGTTAATAGAAATAGCATACAAGTACATCATCAAGTTTAGTACACTGTGTGCCTTAAGTAGCCCCTCATTTGTTTAATTCAAAAAACCCCACATACTTAAGAAACAGAATTGACAACTTTTTTTTTTTTTGCAAGTTAGCCCATACTTGTCTATTAAAAAAAGGTAACTCCTAAATCAAAGGAAATTCAGTGTAAATACTTTGTACACTCAACAAGCTAAAGCCAAGTTTGAGAAAGTGTTATTCAAATGCTTTTGCTTGTTTTGTTGTTGTTGGTTTTGTTTTTAACTTCTCTTCAGTATTGCTACTGATTCCAGGATTCTTCCCAAATGAATTGATCAACACCTAAGAAACAAGATTACAAATCTCTAATTCACAAAAGTAAACCTCTAAGAGGAGACATTGCAGTCAAAAATATCAACAACAGCAGAATCAGTGGATTTTCTGGAAGTCACTTGAACAATGTGATGTACAACAGACTAAGTGCTTGGGCAAACAGCATTTAATTCACGGTTTTGGCTTCTCTCTCAAACACATCTACATCAATCCTGGTTAAAATGCTTAGCAGCCAGAGTGCTTCATTTTCTAGTAAAACCAGAGTACCTTATATTTACGTGAGAAAAGATGTGTAAGGTTTTAGGATTATTACAGCAGGTTGACCCAGGACTTCCATGGAATGAAGATACATATGTGTATTACATTATAGAAATTTACATTTACATTACAAAAATATTCAAACAGGTTTCCCTAAAACTGAAAGACAGAATCATACAATTTATAAACAGGATAAAATCCATTATGATATTATAACACTTGATCAGATGCCAACACTCAGGACTTTTACCTGCTATCTTCACAAATTCTTCAATAAGATAGATGAAAGACTAATGTAGCTTATGCCCACAGGAAACGACCCCCAAGCAAACGGTCAAGATGCTTTCAGCTGTCTCAAAAACATCCTTGCAACCACTCTTGATTTCTCATAAATGCATTAAAAATAACCTTTACATAAAGCTGAGAAGTAAGATTCTTTTAATGGTTCACCCAACTGGCACATCTGTTTTAGTCATTCACCTTGTTCCTTAAATAAATCCCTTTATTAGCTGGCACACTACAACTCAGACATTACCACGGTAAACAAATATGTTTGGCATGGAACCATCTGTACAGCTCCAAGAATACAGCACAAAATTTTTTCATACAATTAAACCACAAAAGAAAAAAAAAAAAGATCTCTATGTTACAGTGACATGAGAGGCTGGACTGAAATACACAAAAGCAAAGAAATACAGAATGGAGTGAAAACTCAATCCGGTAGAATCAGCATGGCCAGTTAAAACACTGTCAGGCCAAAGGTCAGCTTTAAGTTTGGGGTTTTTGCTTTCCTAAATTTAATCAAAACTCGTAACATTAGTCCCCATGACTTTTTCCTCTGTGCCTCATCTTCTTCTATTTCTTTTTAAAATTATACTAAAAATAAAGCTCCATGTCTCTGAAACACGTGCTGTTGAAACTTGGAATGAAAATAGATAGGCCCTCAAGTTCTGTGTGGGTTTCTGTTGCTGTTTGTTTAGTTTTAAAAGGAGTGTTTTTGTTTTGCTTGCTCTGGAACATACAAAAGATTCAAATCTGTATAAGAAAACAAGAATCAAGAACTCTCTGGGCATATCCAACTTCCAAACTTGTACCCATTTTTAAGAGACTTTTGAAATACAATTTCCTATGAATTGAACTAACTCTTAACATCTAAAAATAAAGAAAAAAGAAGACATAAAGGAGACATGGCTAGTATCAAACAGCATTTAAGAAAGTGTTGGTACCCTGAGGAAAAGAATCTTTAAAACACTTCCCAACATCCTCAAATCACTCTACACCATGTTTTCTGACAACTTCATAGGTCTTATTTTTTAGGGGTGTGCATTGATCTACAATTGTTTTCTCATACATACACTTCTTGCATGAGACTGTAGTTTCAAGATCATACACACCTAATTTTGAATGACTTAAAAGGAAAATATATCCTGTAAGATCTCTGCAAGTATTTACCATCCTTTCAATCTTTTAAACATGTATTCAAATAGAAGTAATTTTCACTGTTTATTTCACTGCAAAGTTTCAAAGTAATATATATCATTCAATTTTTCACAAACTGAAGATAGGTTAGCTTCTGCTAATGTAAGTTACGTTCTAAAGATAAAAATATAATGAAAGCAAGAAGCAATAACACCATATTTTTCTGCCTTCCTGGACCATGGATTATGTGCTTTAGACCTTCTTAATTATATTTAGAATTATGCTAAATAGTTTGAAATTATCTTAACAGAAGTGGAGAGCAACCGAATGATGCTACACAAGGTTCAAATTCAGACCTAAACCCATGCCAAATTCTACCTCCAAAATGATGCTATTAGCATAGCGATTCACATAATGAGCACAAATACTTGTAGCTTTATCCAATAAATCACTGTCCCTGTCCCAGTGTTTTAAGTTAAAAGACAAGCCAGCACTGCTAGCTGCTTTAAGTAAGAAACATAAGAGCAGCAGACAGCACATTAATAAATATTCTTCCCCCAACTCTTTCTCCTGATGCACAGTTGTATCACTGCCTTCACACTTAGCACTATGACCACCCTGCAAATGCAGTCACATAAAACCCAGACCACTGGTGCTGGCTTACAGCTTGCTTGAAGTTCCAGACAGAACTTCCTGAGATGTCAGACAGAACTGAGAATTTATCGTGAAGTTAGGCTTCAAGATTCAAATAAAGAAAAAGAAAGATCAAAAATTTTGAAATCCTCACATTTACTCCCTTCCCAAACCCCTCTCCTCTCAGTTAGGAGGTATTAGTTATCTCAGTTAGGAGTCACATGAGACATTGTAATATTGTCTTCTGGAAGACTCTGTATCCCTTCGATACAATGAAGTTTTGCAGTATGCTAACAGAGCATAAGATTTGTCAGAAATTCAAACAATTTAAACTTGGAAGTATATTTAAAAAAAAAAAAAAATTAAAAAAGGCAGGCATGAGTCATCTGTTAGGAGTAATTTCAGCTGTTTCTCAGAAAAGGCTGTGCCTATTCACTCAACCACAGGCAAATGTTTTTGATAGAGTTGTTCTGGATGTATATTGCCTGAAATGAAAGCAAGCTGAGCCAGTGCAGAATGGGTACCTGAAGAAATACTATGTTGACAGCTTTTGTTACTTGGAACAAATCTTATTCATTCAAGGCAAAGGAAGCCACAATAGAAGCTGACAAAATTCAGCAGGACAAATTCTGAGTTTGCTACTGTTTCTTTCTGTTGATTTGGTTTGCGTTTTTTGGGGGGTGGGTGGTGTAAACTGTGGAGATTTATACTAATTAGTTAAACACCAATAAAGTTATGGTTGAGAAGACCATTCACCGAAAGAAAGTGGCAAGAGGCAAACCAGGGTGCAATCTGTATCAGTTCTCCATTATGGGGTTTGAAAGACACTCGGAGATTCAAAGTGGGATCTTTCACAACTGGTGGCAAACAACACTGAGGATGGATGAGACACTAGCTCAGAAACCCCTGAAAAGACTGTAAACCAAGAGCACAGAACGACACATAGCTTAGAACCCCACAACTGCTTTCTGGAGGGGCCGTATAAAAACCACTGTCTCCAATTTTTCCGATTTGGAAAACGGTTCAGAGAAGAAAAACAAGAAGAAAGATGTCTAAGAGTATGATGTAGTTAAAGGGATTAGAAATCCAAGATTACTGTCATCATGTCCTGCTTTGTTTTCCCCAAGCATGACTAAAGTATCTCTATTACATTCCACATGGTATTTAGTATATTATGTAAGCATTACATGTATGCATACCCATGTTTTCCTCACGTAATGCAAGAGGATAAATAAAAGGAAAATATGAAGTTTATCCAAGCATGCTTCCATCATTATTATGCAGAATATGTTAAAATTCTTCTTACAGAAGGAGATGAAAGAACTAGCTCACGATACCAACCAAAACTTTTTCCATTTCTCCTTCAAACTTCCACCTCTAAAAACATCTCTTTGTCTTAAATTTATGAATGAGGGTAGGTCTTACAAAAGTGAAAGATTAATAACATTTGCTTGAGCCAAAAACAGTATGATAGGCAGCGTGCACGCTCCCCCACGCAGCTCCACCAATCCATCTCAAGTCTGACCTGCAGTACCCCTGCTGCTTTTCCAGTCCTAGGCCTCTCACAAGTAGAGACTGCCAATGTAGCTGAACGGTGCCAAACCGTCTGGTGGTTTTGCGATATAGCCAAATGGGGACTACGATGAGATGAAACTCATTTCCACCCATCACCTGAGCAAAGATGTGAAAGTAGGTGACAGGATGGAGTGCTAGGCCATATAATGCTGAGCAGTCCTTACCAGCCAGATACTTAGAGACAAGAGATATTAGAATAAAATGTGGGAGGAAAAAAACAAAACAAAACAAAAAAAAAACAAACAAAACCAAACAAACAAAAAAATACACCACCAAAACCTGACAACAAACTCTGCATAGAGACTTACTGGCTACAGAAAGGTATGTTGAGTGAATGTCAAAAAGATCTACAAAATAGCCCAAGAAGTATTTATAGTTTACTTTCTGACTCGCAAAAGAGAAGGACTGTCAGAATGGAATGCTAGACAACGCAAAGAATCTTTGACCTAGATTTTTTAAGGGAATTATAGAAGGTAAGGTATACTTATTAAAACAAGTGGAGTCTAAATGGTTTTAACTTTACCACGTTAGCTCCTGCAATGCCAATTTAAACTATCACTTTCTATTAAAAAAAAAAAAAAAAAAAAAAAAGAGGTTAAATTGGGTAGTATTCAGTTCTGATTTAGAAACTCAATAGAAACCTAATGTTTAAGTCACAGTTGTAGCAGCTGAAACGGTATTTAAAGCTGTAGCCATCCTGACCCAAATAAAAAAGGAAAAAGGAAACCCTTTCCCTCAAAACTATTAGTGCAGACGTGGCTTTAGTGATTGCATCAGCTGCTAGTGCTACAATTTTAGCTTTTTTTTTTAATTAAAGATATACACTAACATTATAAGGGAGAAGAAATAGACTTCTGTGGTGTTTAACAAGTTTAATGTATGTACAGAAGCACAGATCTTGAAAGAAAGCTAGATAAATTTAGAAGAACCACCTACTAAAACAAGTTCTCTAAAAATTTTCATTTGTAAAGCAAAATTTGCATGCCCCAGCTACACGCATTTAAATTCCAAACATATTCCAAATTCAGGTGCCACTGCTCTTACTACATCACACTGAGACTTCAGATCCACATATTTTCCCCTTTTTTATCTAAGCATGCTTTTTACCATAAGCATTTTACTTAGAAGTTTTGCAAGTTTTTTCTTTTTTAATGGTAAATTGCACTATCTACATTCTGTTATTTTTGCTCAGAAAACAAACAAATGAGAGTCACAGGACTTTCCAAATAGGGGATGAGTGTGGCAAAATGCTGCAACACTTCAGCTGTCCAAGGGACACCTGGTGATCATTCTCTACACAGACCCTGCACTTTACAAAAATTATTAAAGTAAATCTTTTTTAAAAAGTGTAACTTTTTACAGAGACCTATAGACAATGGTAAAAAACAGTTGTATAGGATAGTTCAGTAATATTCTATTGTTTTTACATATAAAATGGATGTATACTCTCTAGTGTTTGCTGAAATCAATGTTTATGAAGCCAGAGAACATTTTAGAATTCTTCTAGATGATATGGTGGGCTGTTTTTCCAAAATAATTTTCAAATATATTGACTCTTGAATTAAAACATGTCTGAAACTCTGATGTTGTAGTAAATGGAAAATATGTATGTTTCAGTGCCTGGGATAAAATATAAACAAAATGTAAATATAAACCCCATCCATCCTCAACAAAGAAAAAAAAAATTACAATTTTTTGTTGAAAAATGTGAATTCCACTGCTTTTTAGAACTCTATTTAACAGAAGTGGAGAATGTGTAAGAACAATCTATAGATCAATCTACCAGTAGAATTACATCCATCAAAAACGTAGAGAGGTATTCCTGACCTGCAGTTTATCCTGCCAAAGCCTCTAGCATTGCAGTTGTATCATCAAACCTGCTTTTACTGGCATAACTACTCTGCTGGAGACCGCTTGATGTGTATGTGGTAAATTACGCTGGAAAAGACAGTCGTTTGCAGAGTATGAACTACACCCACATTAACAGTATTTTGCCAAAAAAACATATCAGCCAAGCAATCCTAGTATGGTCTTGCCTAACTTCAAGCTTTTCTTTGATTTCATCATCAGTGTAAAAACCTGCTGGCACCCTGCTCCTATAATTGACAATGCAGTGGCAGGTTGCGCCACCCACAGAGACACTCACTCACACAGGTGTAGCTTTCCACCAGCATGTCACACAGTCTCTACACAATCAAAGGCTGAATCAGAACTTTCTTCACTATATCTACACACCCATAACCATCTCCCTATAGGTCTCATTATCAAAGTTGCTGAATTCCCCCACTGGTGCCAGAAGCATTTGGAATTCCTATCAAAACATCTATACACACACACACACACACACAAAAAACAAAACAAAACAAAAACCAGACAATATATTCATGTTCTTAATGTAGATATAATAATTTTAATGCCTGCCATTCAAGTTTGAATGTTCTAGGCTTTGTTTTTTCTTTCTGTGGAAGAAAGGAGAGCAACCATTACAAATGTTTCAAAAAGCACAGTGTGTTTTGGACTTGAATACCAAAACAACATGAAATGGGTCTGTAAAAGCTTCTGTTATTTCAGTTTTAACCAGTAACACGTATCTTCACAAACTTCACTTCAGCATTGCTGCAAACAGTGGCAAACATTATAGTACTTAAGGGCATCTGTTTTATTTCACTATGTCAGCTATTGGTGTTTATCAGCAACAGAGGGCTGTACACTAATATTCCCAAGCGTATTTCATGTTGCCAGTCAAAGACAAACCGTGGGTATTTTTATTCTTTGAATATACAACTTTTCACAGTTTTGCTAAAAAACACTTCTGAATCCACTCACGCATGACCTCTGTCTGCTCTAGAGAAGAACAAGAATAACCTCAATTAAAAAAGAAAAAGAGAGTGGAATTAACTGTTTATTCACATATTTTAATTACAACGATATCTTTTTTCGCATCTGTTTACCAAAGTACTGAAATCTAAAGTCTTAATGTAAAAACAAATTCCCCATAAACGCCACTCATTTGAGTCAGGATATCTTGCTGGTTAATCATTTATACATAGTTTACATCTGTAGTAATCCAAAGAAACCAAAACAAGTGAGAAAAGGATTAGATCCCAGAAGTGCAGTGGGATGGAAGAGTGAAGCCCTGGCCTAACAGATGCTGTCTGAGGTGCTCCACCTGCATAGAATGTGTGAAGAGAGATTGTTTCATAGGGAAGCAAAACCTCCTGCATTTCTCCAGTACCTGCTGTGTTGATAGAGAAGAAACGGAGCCCATCAATGTGTCTTGTGCCACTGATACTCTAGCATCACTTTAGCCTGTCGTCAGTAAAGTAATAAGCATGTTATTTAGAGAAAATCACATTCACTACCTACTAACCTAAAACACACAGCTTCAAAGACTTCCACTCATGGGCTTGATTTTTCTGTAACACAGTGAGTACATTCACACTACAATCTCAATTGCTTTTCCTGCCTAAGTAGATCATAAAAATACATGGTCAAGGAAAGTTTTTTTTTCACATATTACTGAGTGCCAGACAAAATCTGCTATTATACTTGTTTATTTCCTCCAAGAAATTTTTTTTTTACTTTCAAACCTCTGTACCTCGAAAGTCCGTGTAGAATGTCACAATTTCCTTTTCCTTTCAGCATTCATCCACACTTACGCACAAATTCAGAAACTTAAGCCCCATTACCTTTCAAGGAAACATTTTCCTAACTTAGAGCTGCAGACACCTTAAAAATGAATTTATATTAAGAAAAATTAAACATCTCTGAAATATAAGGCCATGTCTTTAGATAGCTAAATATGGAGGGTAAGTATCCAACTTTTAGCCTTCAGGTTTGACTTCATTAACTTTCAAATTTCCAGAGGTAAAGATTTTTATCTGTGTTTCCTGTCTACCACTGAACACACAGGGTCATTTAATAATGAGATTTCTGCCTACAGCAAATGTTGAACTCAATTCTCTTTAAAACAGTTGAGTCAGTATTCAAACTGGAAGAAATGTGTAATTTTAAACTCCTGATCCTTTCTGCAGCAGCTGAACATCTTTCACATCCTACTTGCCACAAAGACCAACCACCTCCAGAACTGAAACCTGGCATTAAATACAACAGAGTATTTTAGTGGTTAATTTACAGGAGTTAATATAGGTAGGACTGTGATCCAGAACATGCGCTTATAATACCATTACACCACACACTGGCATACCTTCTTCTATTTATAACCAAGGAGATGGAAAGATACTATGAGGATAGTATCTGAATTTGAATTCGAGACTGTGACTTCTGTGAAGTCTTAACCATCTAGAGTCTTTACAATTTAAAATCACAGCCTCTGGGCAGCAATGCGCTGTTGAGCTCGTGTTTTGCCAAAAAGCATATACATGAGAAAGAAGGAGGTGTTATGACAGTTTGTACCAATATTCACAAGTGTATTTTACAGTACTGGAATAGAGTAATTTAATCCTACAGTTACAATGTATTAAGCAATACCTGGCAGGAGCCGTTGGGTAAATTACTTTTATATGCTGAAAAGCCATGTCTTGACTCAAAATTTGTTTTATCCATGTTCTTGCTCCTTGGCCAGTATCACCTGTATCACACAGAAGAGTACAACAAGAATTATGCTGTGCATTTAGAAAGAAAACTATGCAACGTCAAATATATTTATACCAGATTGACCTAATTCCTAAATCATAATCCTCCAAAGTGCTAAAAAAGAATCTTCTAGAATAACCTCGATCCCCTTTCCAATGAAAATGAACTCAAAACATCCTAGAAACAGACTACTTAAGAGGTCCCACAGCATAAGTTTAATAAATGCTTTACTACATACAATGGCTTAAGCACCTCCTAATCAGGCACAAGGCCTTACTTCTTACTTGCAGCTTACCTTACTTGCTCATAACAGCAATAAACGAAAATACAGGTGAACATCTTAAGAAGTGAGATAAAATATCTGCTGCTCCCCTTAGAAAAGATAGTTACTTTTACTACAGAATTTTATGCTAGCCCACTTCAAAACCTAGTCAAAAGCAATAAAAAGGATCTTCACATTTAATTATCCTAATATTACACATAGGTTTTAAGGGAAGTATCAGTCAAACACTCCTAACGTTTTTGTAAAAGTGCTGAAGAGATGAGTTTGGGTTAAAATATCTGGCAAGCTCCTCAGAAACCTTAACCCCGCTGTTCCCTTTGGAAGCTAGTTGAGACCTGACCCTCAATGTGTTTTTTCCTAGTCCTATCAACTCAGCTATGGCTAAAACTTCTGTGGATCGAAGTGCAATGAACAGATCTACAGGATGAATTCTTATGCAGGCAGCATGTGTTCCTTTCAAATATACATACATACACCAGACAGTTTCTAGAGCTTGGCTTCACATCACTAGAGTCTTCAACTATAACTTCAGTGCCACCCCTCTGAACAGTATGCATGCACAGACACATCTCCAGTAAGAGTTAAACGATGCTTCAGGCTTGAGGAAAGTGGCCCATCAAGGAATATGGCTTACCGTAGGCAGAAATACAACACATAGCAGTGCTCAACCTAAAAACTTGGTGGTGATTCAGCAAACTGGGATTTCACTACTGCCACTCATGCCATAGGACTTCAGTCTTCTTTGAAGTCAGGGCTCTGACATATTATCAACTCAAACTGCTAATCTGAGTTAACAGTATTCTCTATTACTTTATCTCAAGTTCGTTAGTTTGACTTTAAAACTCACACTATTCTTTTTGATAAAATGTCTAAACCATAAAAAAAAATATCACTGCCATAAGCCAGTCTTGGCTACTGTCATGTTACATGGATTCATCTGAACAATGTCATATGAATATGCCAATTTATTGTTACAATGATTATAACTCCCCACTTTAGAAGATTTGCTCTTGCTTTAGCACTCAAACAAAATGCAGTGATCTTCATTTACACATACAATTAATGCATCTTCAGAATTAAAACAGAAAGCAAGAAGGATCCAAATTCAGTTGTTTTTTGTTTTGTTTTTTTTTTTTTTTTTTTTTTTTTTCTGTTGAGCACAAATGACATAACCATGAAGTTCTCCGCTTGATCTAAATCCTCCAAGTCACAAATAAGCAGTAGGGTTGCAAAACCAACACAAATCTTCTGTGCTACATTAAACAGTAAAATCAAAGTTTTATCTTTAACTGCATGCTTCAGAACGCATTCCCACAAGCACTTTGCTTATGTAAGTAGTAAGGTCTGAAGTCCAAACACACCCCCAATTCTTTGTAGACTCTTGATCTGCAAGGGTTTCCCTGCTGTCACCTAATTTATAAACAAAGTATCTTAAGGAAGCTTGAACGAACATTTTTCTCCCTATATACTCTCCTTTTTTTCAGTTGGAAAGCAAAGGTCTAAGCTTTGCAAATACTTCCACAGGACCATCCCTCAGGTAGGTCAACCTAAGCAACTATCCAAATGCTTACAGAATTGGGACTCAGGTCTTTAAAAACTCCTTAGTGGTGTAGGACACATCTTTTGCTATTTATTCACATTTCTTAAGCTTTGCCAAGATCAGCAGAAACAATTACAGTTAATGAAGCTAGTTTGCCCATGAAAAGTTCATAGAAAACTAATCAAGAGAAAATTTAGCTATGACCTTCTGCCTGTCAAGAGTCCCGATGGTCCAAATGCTCTGCAACTGCCATGAGCACTTGCCTGCAGAGGTAATGCATTTTGATTTGGTAAGAACAGAATTTGGAGGGGAGGGAGAAATAGGGGAAACTGACACCAAACAAAACCCAACAACCTTCTGAAAGGTTTGTCTTTCAGGTTGCTTTAGATTTTAGTACTCTATGTTCTTCTAAACACTACTAAAAAGAAGCAAAAAAATGCACAGCTAATTCTGCTTTGAGTCTGTTTACAAACATGAAATAGACTGATGGCAGCAATACTATCTTTTCTCCCCTTCTCGAGTAAAATACAAATTATTTTCAAATATAGCTTGAATTTCCAAATTTTCTTCCTTTGAAAAGTTTAAACTTAACAACACGTAACATGTAAATTGGATATTAGGAAAAAAATTCATCACCAAAAGAGTTGTCAAGGTGGAACAGGCTGCGCAGGAAACTGGTTGAGTCATAACTGCTGGAGGTATTTAAGACATGTAGATTTGGTGTTCAGGGACATGGTTTAATGGTGGACTTGGCAGTGTTAGGTTAACGGTTGAACTCTGATCTTACAGGTCTTTTCCAACCTAAATGATTCTATGATTCTACACGTTACAACATGCAAAGTTGTAAACCTAAGTCTAAAAGTTATTACACATTCGTTATGTCCATTTGCTTTACCTGCTGCACTACTAAATGGATCCTCTAACTAAATTAGATGCACAGTACCAGGAATTTTCTAATATTTTTCTGTAGCATTTTGCATTTATATTTTCCACTTGCTGTAACTTGTCTGGAGCAAGCATCAGGAACAAAGTAGAGTCATGCCATTTGACTGCCACTTTCCATCACAAGAGCTGTATAGAAGGTTTACAATTCAGGTTTACAGGCCAGCCCACAGCAATAGCACTGTGGCTACTTCTGTTTTAAATTCTAGTAGGCGGAACTCCTAAACAAAACCAAATAAAAGCACTCTCGTACTTCCCCATTGCAAACATTAAGAATGAAATCAGATCAAAAATGAAAAACTGTAGAGTACTTTAACCACATGTGGATTCAACCTCTAACCATAATCTTCCCTTGTTCCTCCAACAAGAGAGAAAATTACTTCCTCGAGCATTGAAGCATTAATGTTAACAAGAGGGCCTAAGATAAATACTGAAAGTGTTGAGCACATTGCCACATGCACATGGACAGCCGAACACAACTGTTTCCCAAGGCCTTGATCTAATAAAGACCTGTGATTACTGGTTTTCTTCTTCCTTTTTTTCTTAAGTCATGGGGACTTTGCTGTTGTTATTTAGCTGGTTAGGAATAACATTTAATAAAAAAAACAAAACAAAACAAAACACACACTCCCCTCCTGCCCTCGGCCTGGCCATGGGTGCCGGTAACTCCCTTCTGCAGACGGTGCCCATGAAGCCAGTTTGGACATGGCCAGGACCCTTCTGCAAGAGAGAAAAGTCCACCTATTGACAGTGGCTTTTAAAAGGTGACAACATTACTCTCACCCTGACCCTAAAAACACCAAGAGCCGTTTTAATTTCGAAAAACCGCTCTTCTCACACGGCTACGCTTAGAGCGGGCAAATTAAGAGTGCATCTTCTACAACGCGTTTGCTCCCACGGCGATGAAAGCCAGGCTGGCGAGTAACGGGACCGTCCCCCCAGCACAGCCGCCGGGCCGGCCTCAGGCCCGGGCAGGCCCAATCCCCAGACGCAGGCCATGAGCACGGCTTTGCCCACGGAGGCTCCTCCGCGCCGGCCAGCGCCGCAGCGGGCCCAGGAGAGGAGCGGGGAGGCCGGAGCGGCGGGGACGGGGGCACCGCACGCCCCTTCCCCTCGCCCGCCGGCCGCGCAGAACCGGGCGGCTACCGCGGCGGCGGGCCCGTCCCGCGGGGCCCCGCACGCAGCCCCCGGGCCTCCGCGCCCTGAGAGGACCGGCCGCGGTGCTCCCCCACCCCGCCGCGCTCCCGGGCGGGCCCCGCCGCGCAGCCCTCCGCCCTTCCCCAGCGGGAAGCGACGCCCGCCGAGCCCCCCGGCCCCGCCGCGGGGTAGCAGGGGGAGAGAAAGGGGGGGGGGGGGGGGGGGGGAAGCAGCCACCTGAGCCGTGCAGGAAGATGAGGGAGGCGGTGTGCCTGCCCGCGGGAGACACCACGCTCCTCTGCAGCGCTGCGGGCGCCGCCATGCCCGCTGCTCCCCTCCTCTTCCTCCTCCTCCTCCTCCTCCTCCCGGCCGGGCCGACAGCGCGTCCCACGGCGCCGGCGCAGAGGCGGCCCCGCTGCCGGAGCAGTGGCGGTCCCTGCGCCTCCTCCAGCCCTTGACACCGCGGCCGCCTCTGCGTTCCCGCCCGCTCCCCTCAGGCGCCGCCACCCACGGGAGCAGCTCTCCCAACCCAGAGAAGTTCTGTCTCTTCCTGGGACGTACCGTGAGAGGTGCCGCTCTGGTTGGCAAACTGGGGATCAAACAGTGAAGGGGGAAGGTCGCCCCTCTCGTGTGTTTGGAAAGGCAGTTGGGCTTCAGTTTGGCCGGGTGTGTGCTCTCAAGGGGCACGGCCCGGCTGGCAAGAGAACTGAGGTGAGGCAGGTAGTGGGGGGCTCTGATGGCTCCTTCGAGGTGCTTCAGAGAGCAAAGAGCCTGCAAGGACCAACATAAAGGTCCAGTAGATGTTTGAAAGCTTGTCTGACCTTAATCCACGTCTGAGCCCAACTGCTGTGATGCTCTTGGTAATTGCTACTGAGCTGCTGTAGGTGGATAAGGAGTAGGAGCTTGATTTTGCACATTTAGGTAACCTATGTGCATTCACAGTTATAAAACTTTTTTTTTTTTTTTTTTTTTTTTTTTTTTTTTTCTACTGATGTGTCGATTAACCACCTGCCTTGGTGCTTTGACGTCTGCGGCAGTGGAATAAGGATGACCAGACATAAACTCTGCTATTGCTGTTTCACTAGTCAGGTGCAGTGCGAGCCAGGGGGTGAGCAGCAAGTTTACAGATTAGTTTTGCAGTTCATCATGAAGTATTTTGGCAAGCCATAGGGGCACACCTGTTAGTCCTTAAAAATGTAATGAAACCTTAGCCTCTTGAGGTAGCATGTTATTACCTTCAGAATGGCCTGTGGGTTAAGTAGATGAAACATCAGTGTGTGTGTGTGTAATATGAAGAGCATGCTGTGCTTGTATTTCTGTTGAAATTACTGTCCTGACTACTATTTTCCTATCTATTTAGTTAGAGCACCAGTTAAATGTAGACTGATAAATGGCATGTTATGATGCCCCTTCAAAACATACGCAGCTGTCTTTTTAATATATCTAGAAACATTCTGCAGCGGGTCCAAGAAGTAAATGGAAGGAAAAAAATCTGATAGGTGGGGAAATGAGGAAATTGCTTGGTGGGGAGGGGTGAAAGGGATATCTAAAATTTTCTACAGTCTTAGTTGTCCAATTCAAGAATACAAACTCTCAGCAAAGTTCTGCCACCATAAACAAGTCATACCTGACACACACCTTACTTTTCATTTGACTTGCACTATACAGAAATAATTGTGATATTTGAGACATCAGTGCTTTTTATTTTTTTTTATTAGCTTTGCATGAAAGTTTAATTATGATTATAGGGCATATTTACTCAATTTTACTTATTTGTAATAACATATCTTGCCATCTTTCATAAGCATTGTAATTTTTGAGGGCTATTATATGTGAAGGGTCACTGGACAAAGGTGATGTGTGGCTTTGGACAAACTCTTCTGCCCAGTTACGACAACAAACTGTGCTCAAGCCTTTGTAAAGCTTATGGTTTATCATTCCCTGCCTCTGAGTTACAAGCTTGGATGTACAAGATTTCTTTGTGCCAGCAAATAAAGCTTGATGCCGGGAACAAAGCAAAGGATAAAATAGCAGACCATGCAAAGGTAGTAATCTAGGTTTGGAGGATTTTGTGTGTTGTTTTTTTGTTTGTTTGTTTATTTTTGTTTGTATGGTTTGGTTTGGTTTTTTTTTAAAAGATAAATTGTCAAGTCGTAAGATTTATTCTTTCTTTTCCAGTAGACAAAAGGAAGGAGCTATCTTACATTTTCCTGAAGGGAGAGGACTCCAGGGCTTCAGGGGAAAGACCAATATTTTTCAAAAATTAAAGACAAAATAGCGAACTGCGTAGAAACTTGTGAGAGAATAGGAACTCTGAACAAACAAATGGAAGAACTAAGTTATAATTCTGATGGCAACATATTTACTGTGAGAACTTGTTATTTAAACTAGAGGAAAAGCCTGTCTTGGGGTGTCTTTAAATATATTAATGATATTGAATATTAATTACATTGTCTGTGTATTTTAATTATATTATTTTAAAAAACAAGCAAACAAACCAGCACAGGGAAAAAAACCTTGTAATAATGATAGATCTGAATCAAGTACTCGGAAATGGCCACGAGAGGATTCTTTCATTCTGGTGAGTTTTCTGTTGTTAGAGGGATGATGCGAGTCCTCTCCTCTGACAATTTTACCCAAAGACGGAGGGGAAGGAGGGATCATGCTTGTGATAAGAACTAGAAAAAGGTTGTAATTACTTCCCTGGGCCAAACCTGTGAAGCCTATGAAGCAGACAGATGTAACCCATGAAAACCATGAAAGTCATAGCTGCTGCTAGAACCTAGCTCTACTGAAAGGACTATCCTGAATGAATTAACAGTATGTTAATAACTGTAGAAAATTATAGACAGTATGGAAATAGCTTGCAAATTTTGTTAAACTAACATAAGCTTAAGCTCTGATGCTTACGGTTTTTTACAAGTCTTTCACTGCTGACATGAAACATCTCCAAAAGGAATTTATTACATTTCACAGTGTCAATAAAATGTCCTCCCACACCCTTAAAAACGTATTCTGTTGCAATTTCTTCTTTTTTATTTTTTTTTTTTCTGGGCTTAATGAAATAAATGGATTAAATTTTAACTTAAATGCTAAATAAATATTGAGAGGTAGATATGTGGTCATATTTAAGGTTTTTAAAGAAAATAAATGTTAAGCATGAGCTGTGTTTTGTTCCTTAGGATAGGCTCTTGCTCACAGTGTTCTCTGTTCCAACTGTTCTCTCACACTGACTCTATTCAGGAGGAACCAGAAGACTTTAATTTACTTGCAACCACTTTGATATTTTTCTCATTTAATTTGGCTTAGCACTTTAAAATTAGCTTTAGCTGAAAACAGTATGTTGCAGAGTAATTTTTATGTCCAGCATGTGTACATATATAACATCCAGAAATACTATTATAACTCTATATGCAGAACCAAGGCTCTTGCATCCTGCATTGAAAAACAGTTTGTAGGTATTGTACGGTTGCTGTTGGGTTTTTTTAGTAGGTGTGTTAGTCCACAGATGCTTCATTGATGGTTACAAAGAAGTATATCTGATTTCTAGTTGATATTTACACTTAGGTGATTTTGACAGAAGCAGGGATTTCAGTATGGAAATAAAAATATCTAGTATTTGGATTTTTACACACACTGTTTTTTTCTCAGTATCGTGGCGTTATCGTTACTTTTAGGAAGATCACATCATTAATATCTAGTATTTATTGCTTGAGTGATAGCTATGCTATACTTGCTTTCTGTATTAACAAGTCATTAAAATTAAGTACTGAATTTCTTTGACTCTTTTGTACATTCCTTCCCTTTCCTGTCCTACTCTAAATTTTTTACAGATCTGTCCACTATTTTTAAGACCATTGTGCCAGTTACTGTTAACTGATAAAAATAAGCAACTATCCTCAAATTCACAGGTGGTTGCATTCATTGTGAATCAGTGTCAGTGCTCTGACATAGAATTTATATGGCATGGGGGGGGGGGGGTCTTTTAGGTCTTTTCAGTGTACATCTTGGCATAGTTTATTCTAAAAAGTTCTTGTAAATAGTTCTCTGCACAACTGCTGCACTAGAGGTAGGAGGTGCCATAGGGGTTGCTATTCAGGGCCTAGTGATCCATTTATTGTGCTAAATTATTCGTAACCTCACCAGTCCAAATGAAAAATGTATTTCCGTTCATATTTTTAATTTTAAAAAAGAGGTTTTTAGCAACTTGTTTTCCTGTCCAGTGAGAAGTATATTTTGATGCTGGGTTCTCCTGTTCCTTACTAGAAAAAAAGCTGTCTGGCTAGGCTACATCCTTAATACTGTGCACCACAGATACGATTTGCTATGGAGTTTGGTGGGGGAAATCAGTCCACAATGAGAAAAGCAGGTTGTATTCTGCATCTGAATACTGTCTGGCACAATGGGACCTTGACCCGATGTTTCTAGTTACCACAGCAAGGTAAACAAGTAATAAACAAATCATGTTCTTTTTGGCCCAAGAGATAATTGGTATTTAGGGTCTTGTGAGATAATTTTGCTAGCAAGAGCCAGATATTTACTGCATGCCATCCAGTTTGTTTAAAAACAAATGAGGGCACAGTCCCAGGGACGACAGGAGGCAGTTCCCTTCTTCAGAAATGTGAGCCTGCAGCTAACCAACACCCTGCCAAAACAAATCCAGGCTTGGCGATAATACTGTGGCCTGTACATTTCTTCTGCTTGTTCTTTGCAGTGGGTTTGCTGCTTCTGAGTCATTTTGGATGTCCACTCAGCTGCTGCATCTGGAGGCATCTCTCAGGCAAGCTCGTTGGCCCATCTTGTTCAGCTTACAGCCTGCTGGAGCCTGGAGGGATGTTCCTCAACCAGAATTCCCCAGGGAATCTCACAGACATGCTCGGGGCTTACCAAAAACACATTAAGAGTATTCTCAGCAAATAGTGAAGCTGTTTTCTGTTAATATGTGAACTGGTGGTGCTTGCCTTTTATTTAATATATTGGCGATTAGAGCTACGGCTGTTAACTGGTATGGCTGGTTTTACATTGACCTGGCAGTTGCTGACAGAGATGCTTTATATGTCAGACAGTATTTCGAAGATGCTCACCCTGGGTCGTGAACTCACCTTGGCCGTGGGAGATTGAGTTCAGGACTTTTGGGGGAAGTTTGAAGTGCTGTGGAATGGTTTGGCTCCATTGGAGCTTTGCCTGTGGGAAGATGTTGGTACTGGGACCGATATTATTACAGTCTTCAGTAGAATTTCTGTACTCAGAATGAGGATCCTTCAACGATTTAAACTGTTTATCTGGCAAGTTTGTTGCACCTTGTGATTTTGTTGTGTGTTTTGGTATTTCTCTTGAGGACCAGTGTTCTTGCATATGTTACTGAATATGAATCTCAGGTTCTTGTTACTGTAAAAGGACATAAGCACTCTGAGTTGAGG